AAAATTGTGCGTTTTTTTTAATTTTTATTAGCAAAAATGTATGATGATAGAGTACAGAGGGGAAAAAGAAATTATTTGAATTTAATAAAATTTAGACAGCGATAAAGGAAAAAGAAGTGATGACAAAAAGAAAGTTCAGAGAGATATAGACTCTTAAAAAATAATTCCAAGTCCTTCAATAGATGGTGACCAACGAATAATAAGATATTCATAAAGTTTTAAATGAATAGGTTTATCCATTTCAATCAATGTATTTGTTTCATATTTTTTGCCTGGTTTTCCCTTATTAGTTAAAACAACTTCAACTGCATTTGTTTTTCCTTGTTCTAAATTAACTGTATCATTTTGATCTTTGTCATTAAAATTAATAATAATCATATGATGTTTTTGACCTCGTCTTTTTAGTTCAATGGTTAACCATTTTGACTGAGGAAGAATAGTTTGGCGAATACTACCAACACGAAAAACATCTTTTTGTGTAAGTTTTATTATTTGACGAAGACGATTAAGTTGTGTATTTGATAATTGATCTCCTTGTCGATCAATATCAATAGAAATAGAACCATTATGAAATAGACATGCAGCAAAAAAAGCTTCATTTAATTTAGAATTTGATGATAAAGATGACCATAGAAATGGTTGTTGGTTTTTAAAAAATATTGAATTATTATATTCATCAAATAATGCTGTTAGATTAGTTACAGTTTCATTAACTAATATATAATTATTTAATGAAGCTAATTGTACACCACCTAAATATTTATTTTTATCACCATAATACCGTGTTAATAATTGTTCATTAGATGTAGCTAATGAATCGATTGAATCAAGAAGTAAGATTTTTTTCTCGTCGATTTCAGCTCTAATACGTGCAAGTAAAAGATAATCTTCATCAAGATGTCTCAATCGACTACTATTATCATTTGTTTCATTATTATATTCATAATCTTCATATGTAAAACTAATACCTTGTACATTAAATCCATCGATTGAAAAACTTTTATTCCAATAAGAAAATGAATCAATCATATCATTAAAAACACGATTATTTCGATAATTAATATCAATAGAATCATTATCATTATTAAATTGATGTAAATAAAATGAATTTTTTCTATTATTATAAGTCCATGCTGATTGTTGATTATCATTAATTGTTTTCCAATTATTTATATTACCTTGATCATTCCATACAAAATAAGAATCATCATTTGAAATAAAATAATTTGATTGAATAGATAGATGATTTAATGGATAATCAACAATTATTAGAATATCATTTTCATGTGCTTTGTCAATAAGACGAGTCAAATCACTTTCATTACCAAAATTACTATCAACATTTCTCCATTCTATTGGATTTAATTCATTTGATAATGGAAAAACTGGACTAAGCCAAAGAGCTTGTATATGAAATTTAGTTCTATAATCAATAAGTTTTTCAGTTAACTCATTAAATTTCATTGTACGATTTGAAAAACGTAAAAATACACCATTTGTCCACCATGATGTTTCAGGTGCTTTTTCACAACGTGGATAAAGTGCAATACAAATGATTATGAATATAAAATAAGCAACTTGAAGTAGAATATAGATTAAAACACTAATCATTCGTGCTCGTTTAAGCCATAGTGTTGATATTAATGGTGGAGTTGATTCTGGAGTTGATAGTTCATTGTTTGTAATTTGAAATTCATTATTACATTCCTCTATACGACTTGCTTGGATCATGTTATCAATTAGTTGTTTTTATTGTCAATTTATTTGTTCTTCTAGAACGATATTTACAAGAAAATACAAAGCAAATCTCAATACTATTTGTTTAGACAGATGAAAATAAAGAATAATAAAAACAAACAAAAGAATTCTTTTAAAGTTTTAGTCCATTTATAGATAAACGTTATCAACTAAAAAGTCTATTTGATGGACTTATTATTTAAGTTGTAGATAATAATAAGTTATACATGTTGATTGAAATCTTTTCTATGTGATTAAAGAAGTTTTCTAGTCAATAGATTTATAGAAGAATGTTTCAGATTAATCTTTATCTAAGAGTATGTTGTTATTTGAAAAACAAATAATAGTAACACAATGTCCTTGTCTTTCTTCAATAAAGAATAAAATGAATCACATTTCACTTTTATATATATATATATATGGCCTTATCTTCACTAGAGAATTTATTACTGAATTAAGTCATGTGATTGGTGTTGCTATATGGAAACACCAATCACATTACCTAATTCAACAATAAATTTTCTAGTGAAGACAGGACCATAGGCATTGTCTTCACTAGAAAATTTAATATTAAATAAAATTTTAATGATTGGTCGAAAGGTTAATTTGGATTTACTACATTTTTAAAAGAAGAATTAAATTTAATGCGTCAATCAAAAAAGAACTTGATCCACTAAGTAAAATAATGAATATGTCTCGATGGATTCACATTATGAATATGGACAGGGACAAGTGCGTGATATAAATACACCTCAAATTACATCAAAATAAATAATTTCTACGAAATTTCTTTTTTTTTTGACGCCTTATATGATTGAAACAATAAATTCACGCTTAATAAATTACGAAATTGCCTGATGTATATTATTGAGTCAAGAGAGACGACAATTCGTTTTATGAAACGTGATAGAGTCATGCATTTTTATTAGTTGCAAGTTTTGAATTTTGATTGATGGATTAAAATAATGGATATCCAGATCAAAATAGATATATCATAAACGACCATATACATAGCTCAATATTATGATCGTATATTTCTGTGTGGTATAGGGAGAAAAAAAAACGCTCGTTTACTCGCTTTGCACACGACAGTCGTTATACTATGTCTGATGTGCTTTTTATACGGTCACGGCCGTAGACAATAGTAACATTGAGTTGTTTGATACGATCATACACAGAGAAATACAGTGATTTGAAAAGAAAAAAAAAAGCACATTTACTTGCTTGTATACACGGCAGTCGTATTCAGTCTCCATCACGCTTCGTGTGCGGTCAAGGATATAGAAAATTTTAATACGGAGTCATTCAGTATAGTTGTATATTAAGAAATACAGTGTTCTAAGGAGAAAAAAAAGGCTTGTTTACTCATTTCGTACAGACAGTCGTACAAGGTCTCTGTATTGTTTCGTATATAATCGTATTGTTTTGCATATCATCACGGAGACATACGGTCGTAGAACCGAGAATCTTAAATCGTATACTGTAGAATCGGATCAGATATCCTACAGAATTCAACAACTTTCTATCGGAAGTTATCGAAATTCTTGGCACAAGATTTCAAGTAGCATCAATTGAATTCTACAGCTAGAAATTCGTCGGATATATCTGGAATCCGATAAAACCATGTCGTATTTACATTTGGACATCAGATAATGTAGGACTCCTTCCGTGTCATCATTCTTCTCTTTTTTATTTCGTACAACTGTTGAAAAGAAAACACAGCTTAAAATGTATCTTATTTTTACTTCTTATCACGTTCAATTGTTGAATAATCAATCCAAACAATAATTAGACGCATAGCAGTGGCGTCAGGACTTTTAGCCCCAGGGAGAGTTGAGCTCCTCTCCGTCTATCGGATCACCACTGAAAACACAAAAGATTGTATTTTTATCCAGCTTATTATGAAATTCATGTTTTGAATGATAATTCTAGTTTAATATTGAAAAGTAAATAAAACTTCTACTTTAATCTATCTAGGCCGACACTTATTCAATGATAAATCTGCATAAGACTAAAAATAAAAAAAGCATAATATTTTACTTGACTTGCTATCATATCAAAAGTTTGATTGAATAAATATGAATGAAACTAAAAAAAAAATGTCGTTTTTTTCTACTCATTCTGAAAGTAAAAGATTTAATGATAAAGTTAAAAGAGAATTAAAAAAAAACCAAATAAAATATTTTATTTAAACTTACTACAGCATCGAAATAAAGAATATGAAAAAAAACATTTAAACCTTCCACTAAATTAACATTTTTGCATAATAAATTTAAATAGAGAACATAAAACGAATGATAATATTTTATTTGGACTTGTTGATAAATTTTTAGAGCATAAGCTATAACTACGTTAAATTAATAATTAAGTCCTTACACTAAATTATAAAGTGAACAATCGTGTATTACTTAATGTTCTACGATCTTTTATTGAAAAGTTACAAACATTTTACAAAAATCTCTGTTTTTTTTTTGAAAATTCGACTTTTTCTCATTTTCCACGGAATGAGTGTTACATTCAAATGTTCATAACGTTATACGGTAATGTTCGACAAAACCGCGATACAGATAGATTTGTAGAGAAATATTTGTTCTATAATCTCAATACGATAATGAATACCATTGTGATTTATCTCAAGTACAACAAACCTCTAAAAAAAAGTGAATCTTTGTTGGTACGAATGCGTTTTTCGTTACTCTCGACAAAGTATTTAGAGTTTTTGAACAAGAACATGCTAGATAATTTCTGAAAAGATGATGCTATGGAGATTTTAAAACAGACGTTGCGATTGGAAAAGTTTTTTTTTTATAAGGGAGTAGTATGTGTTTTAAAGTTGTGCAAAGACGTTTTTGACAGGAATTAGCGAGTCTTTAGAAACAAAGGATAGATATGTGCAGTGAAATCTGACACAGATATTCGAATTACACTGAGAGGTTCATTCTTTTAGTCTCGCTCGTTAGCTGCGTTCATTTTCTAATGTTGGTATCGTATAATCATTACCATGAACAAAAATTTGATATAGAAAATATCCCATTTCACGTACACAGATGATGATCTCCTTGCAGTACATTTCAAATTTAAAAAAACATGGTTTATTTCTGCTGATTATGAAGAGTACAAAGGTACAAAATAAATAGATTGAACGTGATCTGAAATCAGTTGATTTGTTGGGGTAAAGACAAACATACTCCGTAAATTCTAAAGTTCGATATAAAAGTAGATTTTAGAAGTTATTGAAATTCAAAGACATCTTGTCTAGCCTTTCAACTATTAAGCCAATTATAATTTCTATTATTATTATTATTATTTAACATTTCTGTTGAAATAAATTCTTGTCTATTTGATATTTCTTGTGTTTGTAAAATTATTGATGATGTTGAATTTGATAGTTGTTGTTGTTGTTGTTGATCTGCATTATTATTATTATTTTCACTTAATGTTTGCGTAAATTAAACAGAATCCATAGTCATTAAATTTGTTGTTGTTGATATTGATGGATCAATTATAGATTGTGATTATAATGTAAATAAAGGTGTTATATATGTATGATGACGTTGATGCCAATTACATGCTAATGGAAATTCTTGAAATGAACATTTATCAAGTGGATTTTCAAATATAAAATGATTATAATCAAGATTATGTGTTGTACATTCAAGAAGAAAATTTGTATAATAATTTAAATATTCATTTTCAGTTTTAATTGAATATAATTGATCAACTAATGCCATAAGACGATGATGTGATGATGTACTTAAATGTTTTGAATCACACCCAAAAATTTCGACAATTAACACGTATATATTCATTTTTACTTGATAATAATTCTAGTAATTGTTCACCAACATGATGATAAAACATTTCTGATAATGATCTTATAGATGTTTTTATTTCTTTTGTTAAATAATTTGTTATATAATCATAGATACATTTATAAATTTCAAGTGTCCAAATTTGCCATTCATTTGGACCATCAACATATAATATTTGTGCGATTTCATATAATTGTTCATGTGTTAATTTAGCTAAAAGTTTATATAATAAATGTAAAGCAATACCACGAATACCAAAATCTCTAGAAAATTATTTGAAAGTGTTTATTAATTTTTATAGATATTATTTAATTGCAGTAGAATATAGAAATTCTGTTTTCTAACACGAAATTATTTTTTTTTTCATTGTTTTATTATGATCATCTTACATAAGTTTCCATTTTTCTTTCATTCATATTTATCATCATAATATTAGAATGTAAAAAAAGAAAAAGAAAAAAGAAACAATACACAATCGGCGATAAGTAGCCTGAAGAGATCTATAGCGTATGTTGAACAGGACAGTTTCAGAAAAAATAAGCGTTTTTGAATTACCGATATTGAAGATCTTAGTGGCTATTTAGTAGAATTATTTGCAACAATTCTTATAATTTGTATATATATATATGGGAAAAGACAACTTACACTATGTGTCCAAAATAGTCTTTGTCTTTTTAACAATCTCTTGAGTATTATCGAAAACAATTTTTCGTGTTAAGCCTTTGATTTAATTAAAGCAATAATTTGAAAAGAACTCTTCACTCATACATTATACGGACAAAATCAACGAAAACAGAACATGACCATCTTCGATTTGACTTTGATTCTTTATAAAAGTTATATTTTTGAACAAATTCATGTTCCATGAATATATGGAAAAATATTGACTCTTTTAGCCTATACTTAATTAAACTTAATTAGTTAATTAATTTTAGAAATGAATTTTGAACTTTTTCATTCAGTTACAAGAGAATTTTTGACTCCTGACGTTGCTAATAACAAATAAACTTTTTTTTTGAAAAATATAAACATGTTCAAGAAAAATTTTTCATAGAGACTTTATAGTCGGAAGAATTCTCAACAACGTGGACTATTTTATTTTAAAAAAATATTGTTTGAAACCTCAGGCTTTTTAAATGGAATCATACTTAGTAAAAAATCTTTGTCCTTTTCTGTGTAAGATCATAACTGCTAGTTTTTCAGAGTATCTACACTAAACTCAACATACATCTTCACATTATTAACGAATGAAATTGCATCAACATACATAATCTCGATCAAAATCTAATCACAAAATGTCTGTTTTTACATGGAATTATCACTAGAGAATAATTAACTTTAGAATCGAAAGGATGTTTTTTCGATTGGGAAAAAAAACAACTTTTAACAAAGTCTAAAATCAACTACAATAATCTTTATCAAGTTTCGTCGAAAAAAAAATGCATTGAATATTAATTCTATATTTCAAAATAAATAGAATTTAAGAAAAAAACAAATTATTTACTTGTGAATAAGAATATCTAATATTCCTGTTGCACGTAATTCTAAATATGCCGAATCAAATTCAGTTATATTAGCAATTAATGATTCTAAACATTCAATTTTAATATCACCATACATTGTTTTTAAACCAAATATTAATTTATTCATAACACTAAAAAGCAAAAAAAAAGATCAAAATGTTTTGTTTTTTGTTTTTATTCATCATTGAAAAATTTTCCTTACGTTTTATCAAAAATTAATGGATAATGTTTTTGTATTGAATAAATACATGTTACATATGTATCTGATAAACGTTGACTATTATGCCATTTTAATATTAAATTTAATTCTTCTAATAAACGTTGATTTGTTTCATGTTTAAGTTTTTTAATATTTAATAACATTCCAATAACTTCACCTGCTGCTGCATATATATTTCTATAAGTATTTTTCATATTTTTAAATATTGTCTCATTAAATTTATCTTCAGTTAAATCATTTGTTATAGTTGTTAATATTGAATTTGTTGTTACAGATGGAAGATTTCCTGTTGGTGTTGGTGGTACATAATATGGTAAAATATCATTAGCTAATAATATTTCAATTAATGAAAGACTAATTGCATTTTGTTTTGATTTTAAATCTGGTTCAGATATTAATTTATAGAGAATTAATGTTGGTGCATGTATACGTTCTTTCCAACATTCAATTAATTTTTTAATTAAATCTAAATTTGATTTCATAACAATAACATTACGATGTGAACAATTTGAAAATAAATATTCAATAAAACGTTGTATAGCTATTGAATCAAGTTCACTTGGTATAGCTTGTTTATGCCATGATAATAATATAACAATTGTATCAATTATAAATGTATTTAAACCTTCTGAAGAATTTTCAAACATTTGATTACACATATGAATTATTGGTGTTAACAAATAACGTGCATATGGTTTAAATATTGTATGTGTATCTATAATAAGACGCATAAGAAATAATTTTATATTAAATGATATAAGTGGATTACTAAATTTTTTATACATACATATCATCCATGGTGACATATCAGATATATGATCATTTATTGGTATAATTCCATTTGTTTCCATATGTTTTAATAAACAAACCATTGGTATCATACATGGATGTAAATTAAGTTAATCCATTTCCATATCAATAAATTCAGAACCAATTTCATCATCTGAACCTTCGATTAATGCTGGTCTATCATTATCATCAAGTTTTTTTTGATTAATTAAATTAGTTGATGAATTATCTGATAAAGAATTTGTTAAACTTTTATTTAAATCATTTTGTTGTTGATTAACAGCAGCTGATGTAAAATCAAAAACAGCTAATTCATCTGTTAAACTACTACCAAATAAATATTGTGAAGATAAATAATGTGGTGTACTTGATAGACGTTGTTGTTGATGTAATGAATTATCTGATTCAGATGTTGTTAAAATTTTTTTACATAATATATTTAATAATTTACGTTTATCTTTTGCATAATAACGTTCAAGTTCAAGAGGAAATTTATATTTATAATCTGGATCAATTATATTTTCAAAAATATATTCATCCTGAAATATAAATAAAATAAACATTTTGTAAAATAAATATGGTTTTATGTAAATTACAATTAAGACTAAATCTTATGAGGAAAGTTCTTCAAATGATAAATCAGTTTTTGAGTCAAGACTGTGTGTAGTATGTAGATCTAAATGAGTTATGAATACTCACAACTAAGACACTTTGACGGTATTTTTTAAATGAATACCGTGATTCATAGAAAAATTGATTTTCGAATTTCGATTTGAAATTTTCCATAGAGACAGGTTTTAATGAGAATAACCTAAGAGCATACATTCTTTTCAAGATATTCATAGCTTATTTGAATTTACGTAATGCACATAGTCTCGACTCAAAAGCAATTTATTAATCGGAGAATCTGTGGGTTTTTTTTATTTTTGACGAAAACATCGAAATTGAGTTTTTATCATACCGAAGTCTCCTCTTGGAGAATATATATGGCTTCTTTTTTTTGTTTTTTGAATATAGCCAGCAGTAATTGCCAGGTAAGGTTCAGGTATAAGGTCATGTTTCGGGTGTCCAGTCGGATTTCAGGACACTACTTATGAGTTCTCCCTTATACTTGAATATCTCATATCATTCTAAGTAGGAAATTCTTTATGAAAGTCTCTTAATCGAACCTTCAATTACCACTATCTCGAACACTAAGTCAAAGTTCTATTTGCTTACATGGTTTATTCTCTTTGAAACATATGATTTACCTTAGCTGGATTAGCATCAAAAATAAAAGCTTTATAAAGTTTAGCTTCTATTTGTGTACAAATAACTAATGAAATAAGACAATTAAATGAACTTGTTGTTAATGAACGTATTAAATGTAATTTAATTTGTTTATCATTTGTATTTATTCCAGCTAACATAACATCCATAGATTTCATTAATCTTTCATCAACAAATTGTGCACGTGCACGTGTAATAATATGTTCAGTTAATTCTTTACCATCAAATGTTTGTCCAATTTGAATAGCTGTTATTGGTATTTCAACATTTAAGAATTTTCGTGCTTCATCTTGTTTTTTTATATGTTCATAAAAAACTTTTGCAATAGAAGAATTTATACCAAATATATCATCTTTATTTAATATTGTATATATATATGATTGATTAAACGATATGTAGAAACTTTATTTATTAATATTGATATTAATGTTTGTGATGTTAAATCAAGTTTAGCATCAAGTTCATCAATAACTAATGTACATATATATATGCTTTATAAGATTTAACTAGTGTTATTTTACGTACTCATGAAGAAAAAATTATTTTTTTCTTGTTTAAAAAGCATCACAATAAATTTTGGTCTGTTTCTTTTTTGTTCAGAAAATAAAACAAAAAAAGCTTTTGCATAATAGATTGATTTTTAATACTAGAAAAATTATTTATTTTATCTAATCTTCCGAAATATGATAAATCATTAAAATAAAAATGTGTTTAAATAAATCATTTTTTGTTTATTCAAGAATTAAATATGAATATTACATGACGATCATTAATCGATCGAATGGATTTTATTAATAGATAATAAAATCCAAAAAAAGATCTGATTAACATACGTGAGCAGAAGTTATTATGAAATAGAAAGAAAAAAATAAGTTACAGAATAATGAAAAGAATGAATACACCCCATGATAAATAATAAACAAAATAAGATAGATGACCAAGCTTTGAACAGATATTTATGAATATTTTTGAATTTGTTCCAAGATGAATTTCAAAGCCAGTGCGAATTCTGTATTACTTAATAACCCGTTTTTATATTTCATTATGATATCCTCGTTGTAAGCAACTAGTGTTATTATGTTTTGATTCTAAAAAGATTGATAAGTATAGTTAAAATAGTGAAAATGAAATTGTGTTATGTCACAAGGGATAATATAATAACCTGTTTTTCTGCCATAATTATAAATTTTTATTCTCAATTATATTGAGTATATCAATGATTGAACTTATGACACTGATGAAGGGAAAAAAAAGTGAAGCTATTTATACTGCATGAATAATAGGCAATCGTGATCATTTTTTGTTTTTTTTTGACGAATGGCGATGAGAAAGAAAATAGTGAGAATATAGATAATGGCTATTGTCGTCTTGTCAATTGTTAGCGCCAATCGTACTCTCATTAACATTTTCCTTTTTTTTTTCTGTCTCATATGTATGAGAAACAAAGTATAGCATACTTTTTTTTATTAATGCGATGCGAAGTACAGTATTTACGTAGTCTTTCGCGAGTTTTCTTTCTTTTTTTTCAAGGTATGAAGCACTTTATAGTAGTCCATCGCAAGTTTTCTTTCTTTATTTATTCCTATCTAAACATATGCAAATAAATTTGACATTGTGTGTCATATTAACCTTGTGAGCCGAAAGTCAAAAAATATTTGTAACAATGTAAGTTGAAAGTGTCAAGACTGAACCGAAAGCAGCTGTTTTTCAATTTTCTTAATGAGTTTTCGCTCGCATATAAATAACGTATGAAAAAGAAAAGTTTTTTAAGACTTTGTCATTTTTTTCATTTTGAGATAATTAAAATGAAAATAATAGGGAAAGATAGTCGTCATTCTCTTTCCATATTTATCACACGACTCTGGATATAGCTGATTAGAGATGAACGATTATGGAGATAATTAAACGATCAATGAATAGCATGCTTTAAAGGTGTGTTACTACGCTTTCATAGACTTCTCGTAGTAATGAGTTTCATGATGAGCACTCCTTCAGCTTCAGTCAAATTTTTGATTAGCTCATTGATGGAAATGCAACTTTTTCGATTTACAACAATCAAGAGGAACATCTGTTTTCAACAGAACGTAAACTATTTGACGAGAAACACGACTCGACATTCGTACTAGAATCGATTATTCGTTTGAGCCGCAAATTCGATTATTTCATATAGTCGATATGTGTGATTGTACTTAATTTTGCATTTTCGATGAAGTCGAGGTGCCATTTAGTTCTTTTTTTCTCTCGACGTACACATAAAGATGGTCATTTTCTGTTCCATTTAAATCGACAATGAAAAGTCAGAAAACATTCGTAGAAATGCGAGGTGAAAGTATTGAGATCAAACTAATAATATTTGTTTTCCAATCTTCCGAAGGACGTCCTATTCACTCATAAATACTATCTTAAAATTACCAATTTCAAAACTTATCTTAGAGATCACTAGATGGCATCTCGACTTCGTCGAGAATGCGAAATAAGGTGCGAAGCACGAGTATCGATTACGTGAAATAATCGAGTTTTTGAAAAAAAAGGAAAAATCGGTTGTAGAGTCAAACTCGAATGGTGGGTGTTTTGAAGATGTCTCTGTTCGACCGAAGGCAAAAATTTCTGTTGATCGTTATAACTGGAAAAAGTTACATTTGCATCAATCAGCTGATCAAAATCTGACACAAGCTGGAAATTTAATAGTCATTGTAGAATTCATCACTGCGAAAACTCTATGAAAGCCTGTCAATATTCTTCTAAAGAGCATTATCGATTGATCGTTTAAATATCGATATAGTTCATTATCTGTCATCAGCTGTAATGACAGCTGTTTAACATATGAACATAAAGAATGGCGTTTAACTTTTCTTAACCATTTTAACGTGGCGATTTATTTATTTATCTCTTCAATAGATTCTGGAACGTACGTTGAAATTTTCTGAGGGGCGAGCAACTCAGCACTTAAAATAAAAATTTTACGCTTGTGATAAAAGCTTTTTTCTCAGCATCTCACCCGGGGCATTTTTCGTAACAAGGACTAAAGCTCCTTAATCTTCCCATCTTTGTACGTTCTTGAATCAATTCTAGCACTTTATCATTTATTCGGGACGGCTTGAACTCGATTGAGTGAGTTAAAATTGAACACTGGTGTATAAATACTTGAAAGAGTCGGAAGAGTGTTTGACTAAAACCTACTCAATCTAAAACATGAAAAGTTTTACTATACTTTAGAGCCATATTTGCTCTACAAAATGTCACATTTACTTTTCTTTTTATATTTCGAAAAACAAGCAGACGGTTTGTTTTATTCGAAAAGATGAATTTAGAAAAATTAATTTTGTTGACAGTATGTCATTTTATATTGGAAATAGTTTTCAGAAGCAGATTGTTTTGAGTTAAAGCAGATTGTATATAATACATGATTTTGTAGATAACTGAATGCCCTACGAAATAACTAGTTAAAATTGCGCAAAAATCTTTATTTTCTTTATCCACATGTTATTTTCATATCTTTTCAGCATTTTCTCGCTACTAAGCAACCTGAAATCAGAGAACAGTTCTGAATATATGTTCGGAAATAACACAGAATTCTCTTGTTAACTACTTTTGATTTTCATCAGTTCTGTTCACGTAGCCAACAAAAATCACATAACGATATTTCTTGTACATCCAGAGAAAGCACGAAACTGATAATTTTGGTTGTTTATATGCTCCAGTTGATTCAGCATACTTTTTTTTTCTGGCCAACGTTTGGCTATCAGGAACATTCTGTAAGACTTCGAGACTCCACGTGATTCCACAAGTCTTTTAGTGCTACGGAGTCTTTCAAAATCAAGTGAGGTCAATTGATTCAGTGGAGTCCGGATTCCACTGTTTCCTCTTTGCTTCACACTGTATCCTCTGAGTCAAAAGTAATATGCCGATCACTTTCCTGCATTAATTCCGAAAAATCGTTAGCCACCACAATCGTCTGATCGATGTCTAGTAGATTATAGTTTATGGATTGAACTGGTTGAAACTATGGATTGGAATAATATTACACTAGAGGCAGCATTATTATACGAATAAAAACATGCTATAAAAATAAGTTGAAAAAGAACAAATTTTAGATTCTATAATTGATTTCACTGTACAGCTATGTTTGATTCACAGAAAAATGAAGGAAACTATTTTCTTTAAATAAAGTAGACTATTGTGTGCAGTATTTTGAGTGCTATCTTTCGATTAAAAAAGTGTTTCAATCAGATGTAAGATAAAGAAATTTTGTAAATACTACGAGCACAATTCTTTATTGAGCAACAGTTAATAAGTGAAGACGAATGTCAATTTAGTTCGAACTTAATGCAGCATTATTTTTTTCATGAAGACAAACTTTAATCGAATTTCTTGATTTGAATAAAGATAAACTATGTATTCTCATCTGTTTTTATCAAGGGTGAAAAAGCGAGACTTCAGTACTCCGAAGTACGATACTGTACTTGTACTTCACTTGTACTGCACTGTACTTTAGTCGCACTTCACTTGTGCTTCACTCGTACTCCGGAGTATCGAAGTTTCACTTTTTCTTCCTTGATACAAACTTGTGTATCACTAGCCATGAAGTAACCCTGAACAAATCACTAATGGCTATTTATCTTGGATCACCCATCCGATAGCATGCTGACCATATTGTGATGTATGTATGCCCTTTTGGCTAGTATGTGGTTAGTTAATGTGTATGGAAAGATCAAGCAATTAAACGCATAAAAAAACATCCAGAAAATCTCACATGTTTGTATCAGCCGAAATGTTGTAAATTTGAGTTCAAGCATCTAGCGTCATCTCGATTACACTAATGCTTAATGGTTATTTGTTTCTCAAGAGTTGATGACTCAGACTATCAGTAGAAGACAATAATAGTCCAATCATAAATTGTTTAATCGACGCGTCACAATCATAACGTAGTGTGTAAACAGATACAGATGTGAATAAAAATACTTTTTCAAAATCAAATCTATATTATTTAACTGTTTTATATTGAAGATAGCAAATATTTTTGTTCATATACACTATAGCAACTTATAATGGCTCGAGAAGATGAATATGATTATCTATTTAAAGGTAAATTTTGTAGATATTTGAAAGATAACAAAAAAAAGGGTTATTTGTAATGTATATTTAGTGGTGCTTATTGGTGATTCCGGTGTTGGAAAGAGTAATTTACTTTCGCGCTTTACTCGAAATGAATTTAATTTAGAAAGTAAAAGTACAATTGGTGTAGAATTTGCTACACGGTAAGTTTTAAAAAAAAGTCTTCTTTAGAAACCTGTCTTTTGTTCTTTCAGAAGTATACAAGTAGATAAAAAAACGATTAAAGCACAAATATGGGATACAGCTGGCCAAGAACGTTATCGTGCTATTACAAGCGCGTATGTTTTTATTTTTATAATAATTTGTTTTTTTTTTGTTTTTGTTTTAATGATTGATTTAAAATAGTTATTATCGTGGTGCAGTTGGTGCATTACTTGTTTATGATATAAGTAAACATGGTACGTATGAAAATGT